ACCGACCTTCACCGCATCGCTGACCGTGAAAATATACATTGAAGATGATTATCGATGATTATCGATATGAACGGGAATATTTTCACGGTCAGCGATGCGGTGAAGGTCGGTGTTTCTACCGGAAAACTGCATGTCGTGAATTTACTGGACGGTGGGCGGATAATCGATGGAGTGTTGGAATTGTAACATGGGTAGCAGGTGACACATGTTGCGGTACATGGTCCGGTAGTGGAACACAGGGCACATTTGAAATGGAAAATGGGACTCGATATGAGAGCCAATGGATCGAAGACGGCATTGTGCACGGCAGAGGGATTGAAATATCGGCGGATGGTAGCTGTTATAATGGCATGTACAAATATGGCTGGAAACATGATCATGGAGTAATAGCATATCCAGATGGATCTCAATTTGAAGGAGAATGGATATTTGGTTGCCTCTATGACAAAAATGTCAATCTGACCGAGCTAATAGATATGGTAAGGGGCTGTAATAAACAGATAGATGACGCCGTAAGTTTCTCTAAAAAACTTCAATCCATAAAAAATCTTAAAATCGTCATTGAAAAACATATAAATAAATTGGATAGGCAACAACTATCAACGGGGATAGAAACAATATTGAAATGTGCGTCGGCCGAAATTGTCAATTTGTTTATCAATGATTATATTCGAAATGCAACATATCGATGGAATTTACTCATTCTTGCAGCTAAGCACGATCACTACGAAATTGTGAAGTTATTACTGAAAAAATTTAATGTGAACGTCGAGATGGAAGGTGTCATGCAGTATGACGGAAAAACTGTAATTGGAACAACAGCATTATGGTGTGCGGCTGCGTCTAATCATTTAAATATTGTTCGACTGTTAGTGCAATATGGAGCCAACGTTAACCATCACACACGAACTCATTCTACTCCGTTAAGAGCGGCATGTTTTGACGGGAGTATTGAAATTGTCAAATTTTTGTGCGATAACGGAGCAGACGTGAACTCAAGTAATTTAGGTGACGGTTCGAACTTGATGCTGGCGTCCTATAAAGGACATTTGAATGTGGTCGATTATCTTCTTCAAACGGGTGCGAACCCGAATCTTAAAGGGAACTATGATGCAACAGCACTGCATTATGCATGTGAACGGGGGCACTTAGAAACCGTTAAATTACTGCTTAGCAAAGGGGCAATTAGTACGAAAAATAAAGATGGACTTACGCCACTGATGAATGCTGCTATTCAGCCGCACCCAGCGATAGTTGAATATTTAACTAAGGAACATTATTCAGAAGTTGAGGAATGTATTGAGGCATATGAACTGCTGGCCTCCACGTATTGCAACGATGGAACTGATAATTCTGAAAAAACTTATGAATATTTAACTAAAGCTATGCATATGCGATATGCTGATCCTTCTGCGCCGATTCTGAAATCAGTTTGTCTTCTCCCAATTGAAGCTTATGGTCATCATATGGAATGCCAAACGGTGGAAGATACTGTAAAGATTCGCCACAATGTCGATGCATTACGGATGGAAACACTCATTATTCGTGAACGAATATTAGGTGAGATGAGCGGTACACTACATTATTCTATCCGTTATAGAGGTGCTGCTTACGCTGTCGAGAAGCGGTATGAACAAGCTTTGCTATTATGGCTAAGAGCATGCAGGTTGAAACCGTCGCTTGATAATGATTTGGAAAGTTTTGTAATTGTTTTCGTGGATATGATCAAAGATAATCTCGAGATAAAGACCAGTTTTCTCGCACAAGTAATGAACATTACTATGACTGAACTAAGTCAAATAAAAAAGAAAAGATCTCGCAAGAAAAATACCATGATGGAAACTGTCACACAGCTCTTTACTTGTGTGTCGTTATCTCAAAGGTACAGTGATAACCTTTACTTCGATTTTTATCATGTGGCGCATATTTTAGATATTGCACTTCAAATCTGAGGAGGATCAACTAGTTTTGAACAAACTTATTTATCGATTAAATCGTTTAAACCCAAGAACATTGGTCAATCGGTCGAGTTTACTTCATTTATGTCTTGATGCCCGTACATCAGTCAAAAATAGATTGTTTTAGTATGTGAAGGTTCTTTTTTGAGTGGCACAAAATTAATTAGTACATCAATTCTAGCTTTCCTTGTTCAATAACCGCTCGATTACTGATCGAATGCAGCGGTGCTGATGTCAATACGATTGATGTTCGACGGAACACCCTACTTCATATCATAGCCATGTGCAGAAAGGAAGATTTCAATGAAGGTGGAAAGATAATTTTTGATCTTATCGGGAACGGAGCTCACATGGACACGGTAAACGAAGATAGAAAAATGCCATTGGATTGTGCAAGCACAGCAGAAGTAAAAAATTTGCTTAAACGTATGTCAAGATTATCATTAAAGTGTCTAACTGCTAAAACCATTATCAAAGCTCGTATAAAATATCACGACCATGTCTCGGACACACTTGTCAATTTTATTCAGAGACATTAACTGGAACTACGATGGATGAAAAGTTCGTAGATCAATGTTATACTGGATCGATTATCGTTCTGTTTGGTTATTCACAAAAATGTTTCTTTCCTATCAAAACAAATCTGAGCTAAGCTTACTACGGCAGTATTCTCGCCCAATATTATGAGTTGAAAGAGGTAGTCTTTAAAGTACTTCTGAAAGAGAATGAACCGGTTTCACCTGTATTTCTGTATCTGTTGTATTTTGTAATCGAATTGACGCAGTCGTAAAGTTTGATATAACAGTACCGATTATTTGCTGCTCAGATAATTCCCTCGTTGACTGTTCCCTTAACTTTGGTCTAGAGTCATACAAAAGAATTGTCTGTGTGTACGCGCAAAATATGGAAAAACGACCTCGAAGTATTCTATGAATGAGCCAATCGAAAGAGAGAAAGAATGGAGGATTAACGTTATTGCGATTACTTGCAAGATAACTACTATCGGCGCCAAAATACAAAGCACTCGGTTGTTTTTCGAATAACTCAAAGATGACAAATGATAGAAACTTGCTGTTTTCAGAAGTCAACAGAGGATACCTGAAGCTATGTTTTCACAAACAAAACTACTTTCCGAAATTATTTGAAAGATCGGTTTCCCAGAAGATCTTTGGAACAGATCTTTTGGAAAACCTAGTGAGAACCCTGTTAGGGTGATACCTTCGGTACCAAAAGGTGAAACTCCCTATACTAATCAAGATAGGTCAATAAAAATCGGCGAGAAATGACCGAAAGTGATATCATATTTTAAGTAGGCTCAAAAAAATCCATGATAACACCGGTTTTCGAGTATATAACTGGAACTCCGTCTTCTTCGAAGACTTGGAGGTAGTTTCACAAAACCCATACTAATTGAAATAACTCATTTTGCCTATTTTTGAGGAAAATTAAAAAACTCATAAACCAGCCAAAATCCATCCAGATTATGCCAGAATATCAAGATCTACTCTATTTTACCTTCTCAATACTATGCAGCTCAATAAAGCCTTTAAAATCAACAGAAAATACTTTGATTTTGAAAAGGTTTTCTAGGAATCTTCCGAAGTGCAGCAATATTTTTTACTATTCCCAAGTGAAAAATTCTGTTGAGCAGGTAAAATAGAGTAGATCTTGAGATTCTGGCATAATCTGGATGGATCTTGGCTGGTTTATGAGTTTTTTAATTTTCCTCAAAAATAGGCAAAAAGGGGTTATTTCACTTAATATGGGTTTTCACCAGATTTTTGGAACTTATTTGAAAAACAGATTATTTGAGATTCAGCGTGGTCGATTACCTATGTTTCCCTTCGCTTTCGGAATTACTACACCTAAAGAAACATTGGTCCTGGGACTCTCAGGAAATCCGATGCCACGCCTGAACCAGCAAAAATTAAAAGTTTGCTTAGTTCTCAGTTTGGAGAGAATACTCTGGACTATCTATCTGAGAAAAGAAAGTAATAGATTTCTATGTCAGTTTCCAAAGACCTTCTAAGAAACCGATCTTTCAAGTAATTTCGGAAAGTAGTTTTGCTTGTGAAAACATAGCTTCAGGTGTCCTCTGCTGACTTCCGAAAACAGCAAGTTTCTATCTTTTGTCATCTTTGAGTTATTCGAAAAACAACCGAGTGCCTTGTATTTTGGTGCCGATAGTAGTACAAAATCAGGTATCATCTTTACATATGCTTTATTATTAATATAAACACATTAATATAAATGTCAATTAACCGGATTTGTTGATTGATCGCGACTGGCATAAACAAAGCTTCGCGATTGTAGGCGACCTTGTTCCTAATTGATATAAATTGTAGCTGTTCGCCAAATCTCGAGTAATCGCATTTAAAACGAAACCGCATGTATCGCCATCCAAAAATAATCGTGATTTTACCGATAGAATCTGATTTGTTATTCGAACACGATGAAACGCGAGCGAGCAGTAGATGCGGCTAAATCTGATCTATTTCGCAGTCCCAGTCAAACTCGATCTGAATTCCATCTTCGAGCAACTGATAAAAATACTGATCGCGGTCAATTGAGACTCACATTTGATCGCAATTTTATAGATGAAATCGCGATGAATGATTAACGATCGGGTAGCCTTTTGTTTGTTGGGTGAGCATTTAATCGTTACTTTACTGAAATCGCGACCAAAAGAAGAGACGAGTTTCCATCGATCAACCGTCGATTTATCAACTTTATCAACTAATTGAGACTGTTATATGACATGGCGATTAATTGTGATTTTGTTTGACTCGCCATGAGCTGTGACGGACTGTTTAGCCGACTACCAAAACAATCTGTATGAGACTTGTGTCAGACCTGTCTTTGAGTATGTTTGAATTTCGGAAAATCCAAGCTAGTTTTCCAAAGAGCCTTTGGAAAAACCGGCTGCGAAATTTGTCCGAAAGTTAGTTTTGCTTGTGGAATAGGGTTGTTAATTTAGTTTTATTATTCATTTATAATAATGGATAAAAGTAAATGAATCATTTATATTTAAAAAATAAATATAAATAAATGAAAACCAAATTAATCTTTATTATATAAAAGTAAATGATCCATTTATCTTTATTTTATAAAAGTAAATGATTCATTTATATTTATTTATTTATTTCTACCTTTACTTTTAAAAATAAAGGTAGAAATAAATAAATAAATATAAATGAATCATTTACTTTTATAAAATAAAGATAAATGGATCATTTACTTTTATATAATAAAGATTAATTTGGTTTTCATTTATTTATATTTATTTTTTAAATATAAATGAAAAATTTATCTTTATTTTTTAAGTATAAATGATTCATTTACATTTATTTTCCAAAGTAACACTAAATTAACACCCCAATTGTGGAAAGATAGCCTCAAGTGTTGGCTATCGAATGGTGAAAATCGCAAGTATTATTATTTAAAGTACTTTATTCGATGCTGAGTTATTTAAAAAATATCCGAGTCGACTGAATTTTTGGACAGAGAATAGTTTGATTTTTCTTTCTTGTTGCTGAAAATTAAAGATATTGATAATATGATTAAAAGCTTTTAGTTTTAACAAGCACTAGACTGTATCAGTTTCGTAATTTCTTTCTAAAACAATTTTGTGTTCTCATAACAGCTGGTCTTTAATTTTTTTCAGATGGCTTCTTCACTGTCAAAGACAAGTGAAATGGATAACAAATATGTAGAAAACGTATTATATTCATTTAACACATTAATAAAATATCTGCAGCTTGAACACATTTCATATGCTGTTGAGCTGAATTACCGATTCGTCTACATGATAAAACTGATCATATTTGTCGTATGATAAATAAAAAATTCAATACAAGCTATAATTCAACGGAACCGTTTTTTATTTTATCATTATTGAAAAATCCACAAATACTGTCCTCATTACTTAACCCAAGTATATTCACTAGGGGATGCATATTAATAGACACAAGTAAAAGAACTTTACAATGCTTAAGGATTGTAATGTTGAACAATTGTTCAACATGATTCCAGTTGAGAGAAGAAGTCACAGAAAAATGAGAATATTGTGCAGTACGTTGAGCTATTGGTAGAAAAATAAAATCTGTTTGCAAGATAAACAGTTCTTACAATATTAATATGCAATTGTGATACAATTGTACTTCTTCCTGGTACAAGTAGTTTTAGGTTGAAACATATGTTTGTTTGACGTTGGGTGAAACGACAACTTTGCATTATCATTAATAAAATAAAATTCGACTGTAAAAGCATTATGCTTTTATATTATAAAGAATTAGATATAAATAGAGAAAAAAAAACTTGTGAGTTGATAATACCTGTATACTTTAAATTTGATCATTTCTGAGCTTGTCCACGTAATTCAGTCAAAAACAGTCAGTCCGTTACGTTTTCAAATAATTATAGCTCCGCAACGAAATAACGTAATAGCCTGGGCAAGGTCTAAATTTGTAGGGTAAACTGTCATCACAGGATATCCACGGATGCCACAAGTCTTTGTTCTTTTTTGTGATATCCTACTTTTGAGTAAAAATAAAAATCTTAATGTTAATCTCTTCTTCTTTGATATGACAAATCAAACGAACTCTCTCTTTATTTCAAACATCTATTACTTTCTGCGTCAGGAAAATCTTTTTCTTTTATTAATAATGATTCTCAAAAAAGATTGGAGTTTAATGGCTAATGCATGAAAAAAAGTGGTATAGGCTGCTCAATCAACGTTCGAATTTTACCTGAAATGAATCATCTATTACAATTAGAGCCGCACATAGCAGCCAAACATTAGGAGAGTGTAAAACAAATTTTCTCTCTGAGATAGTGTAAACTTAATAAAGAAAATTGTGTACGAGGAATAATTGGTAAAATAACAACAACTTTTTCAATTATTCGTGGGATGCGCACCCTCCCGATATTTGCGGCTCTGATCACAATTAAGATAATTGATTCATTGGTATCAAATTATAGATTCTATACGAATGCATAAAACATTCATTTAGATATATAACTTATTTCAAACACGAGGGAATGTTTTTTAGTACGTACAATTTCCAATACTAAAGACAATGTTCAGAACCATGTGATATCTATTGATTTCTATAGACATTGGTTGAATTTTAATCGAACGATTAGAGAGAAAGAAAAGAAAATTTTTCTCATTGGCGATCATTTTTGGCAGAAGTTATTTAGTCAAGTGTGTGATGGCACTGCTTGATCCTTCCACCTATTCTTTTTATCCGTCTTCTGCTAATATTATCTACTAGTGTTATGTGTATGTTACATGAATCTTTTTTGTTAATCTTTCATGGAGGATTCATCTTCGTCGTAAATTTAGATAATAAAGATGTCTTTTGTTTTGATGTAAGAATGATGCAAAATGAGGCGTGATCTTTGTACAAGTTCACAAACGCAACTGAACTGAAAAAATTGTTCAGTAATGTCGAAAAGAATCTTTTTGTTTTGAAAAATTGTTCCTGCCTGTTGGTGAGTAACCAAAAGATAATCGTTGCGTAGGCCATTTCCTTCCAAGATACATGGCTGTTAATGACAGGCATGGGCGCGTCCGAGAGGGTACCGAGTCCGAGTCCTTACAAGTTCAAGCCGAGTGCTAGTCCATTTCGAGTCCGGTAATCTTTTAGATTCTTTTTTGATGAGGGTGGTTTATATTTTAATTTGCTAAGCCCTGGATAGATATTTGATTTTTCGAAAATAAGGTTACGTTCCACGTCCGTCTCCCGAACAAAATTTTCAATTTCATGTGAAACAGAAGGTGTTGTTATTTCGCTTTTCATTTTTCTCTACTCATTTGTGTTAAAAGTTGAATAGATCGGACTCGAAATACAAAAACTCAAGTTCGAGTCTGAGTCCTTAAAAAAAATCTCCAGTCCAAGTCCGAGTCCGCCAAAAAATCTTCCAGTCCGGACGCGGACTCGCCCATGCCTGGTTAATGATACAATAGAACTGATTACATCTTACATCTGTTGTCATGTGTGCTGCATCTGTAATAACCGCTGTCGAATTCGATAGTACTTCACCTAAATACAGCACCAAGAATGCAGCAAACAATTTTCTTGAAACAGTTATAGTATACTTGACAATAATTTCAGTTGTCATAAAAACAATACAGAGCACAAGTACAATAACTAATCTATGTCTTGCACTATAATCAACATTTGTATCCGATACATGACGTCTCTACTCTAGTGGAATGAAATGAATTTGTGGGATCGAAATAAAATACCTCGGAAAGGTTCTGGTAATGAGTAAAGGCTGCCTCCTTTGTAGCCTGCAGTATGTATTTGTTCGATTTACTTAACACCAGTCCAGTTTAACTAACTACTTTTATACATATAGTATCCCATTTTACATATTTAATAATGATCATCCTCTTTATGCGATAGTATATTGTAGTTGGCAAGAAACCAAAATACTTGTATTAACCACTTTCCTTTCTCTTCTCTTATCCTTGCTGTATGACTTGATGAAACAAAACAATACCCGAATATTTTTTTGAGTTATTTTTGTTTTTTGTTGATGAGTGCAGAATAGAAGTAAGAAAAGATAACAAGCTGAAATATATCCGACAGATTGGTACAAATAGTTTTTATCTTTACATAAAGCGTCAAGATGTACATCAGTGTTTTTACAAGCTATTGCCACCACCTGTGGTGTCAACTAGAAGCTATTGCCACCACCGGTGGTGTCAACTACAGCTATTGACACCACCATGCAAAATCAAAGAGTAGGTGGTGTCAACTACGGCTATTGACACCCCCAAGCAAAATCAGAGAGTAGGTGGTGTCAACTACGGCTATCGACACCCCTAAGCAAAATCAGAGAGTAGGTGGTGTCAACCACGGCTATTGACACCACCGTGCGACACAGTTTTGTATGGAGACCATGTCAAAATATGATTTGCTTTTGGAGATTGTTTTAGTGTTTAATAGCTGTATTGGTATTTATTTTATTGAGCAAAGTAATAGAATTAAAAACAAAGACTATTTAAATGTACAAAGTTTTAAATTGTTGAACACCAGGCATTGTTTGTTGTTTTTGCTAAAGCGAAATGTAAC